GCATCTTCTTATATTAATATTTTTTAATAAAAATGCTATACTATAAAAATGCTCTATAGTCTGTACTTTAATCACTTTGGAATGAATTGTAAACATTTTATTATATTGATATTCTTCTACAACATGACATTTTCTTATATTTGCGGTTTTTCTTATGATTTCTAATATTGAGGCAAATTGCAAATGAAGAAATACAAAGGGCCAATAAACACATGAAAACAATTTCACTTTAACAATAGTCAAAGAAAAGAAATGAGATGTTATTTTTACACATCATATTAGCATAAGTTTAAAAAAATGGCAAAACCTACTTTGTTAACTGGAGAAAGAAATGGACAGCATTTTAGACAACTGAAAGGGTGAAAATCTATCTGGATTTTTACGTATCAAAATATAAAATATGTCTGATTATTTACTTGGCAATTCTATTTCTAGGAATTTACTCTGAGAGCAATCACCCATGTGAAAAGATATAAACAGAAGGATGTTTGCTGAAGCACTGTTTATAATAGCAAAATTTTAGTGACAACCTAAACGAAATGTCAATCAATAGGGGAATATTTCCAATGAATGTGAAACATAGTGTTCGGTCATTAAAAATGATAATGTAGCTTTATATGGACTGTAACCCCCCAGTCTCCTCTGTCCCTGGGATTTCCTAGGCAAGAATGCTGGAGTGGGCTGCATTTGTTTTTCCAGGGGATCTTCCCAACCCAGGGACTGAACCCACATCTCCCATATTGGCAGGAGGATTCTTTACCACTGAGCCCCCAGGGAAGCCCCAGCTTTATATGTGTTGACTTGGAACGATGTCTGACGTGTTGTGAAGCAAGAAGAAATCACATAACAGAACAGCTTGCAAAGTCTGAGTCCATTTATGTAAAGTTACACACACAAATCTGTATGTGTCTTAGATAACCAAATGCCTAAAGCATTGTAGTCTTCAGAGAGGAGGAGCTTAAAGGTTGCAATCTGGTTGGAACAGGGGGATGGGCAAAGGATGAGGGTCCACTTTGAAGCTGCATTTGCTAACCAACCATCAAGTTTTTGTAGTTGTTTGTTTGTTTTCTTTCTCTTAGAATGTATGTCCTTTGAGGACGGCAGGGAGAGACAGCGATGGAGATTACAAACTCTGCCATCTGCCAAGTGGTGCTGACCAAAATATTAATAGTGATTATCTCTTGGAGGTGGGATTTGGAACGTTTTAATTTCTTCTTTGAATTTTTACTATTATTCAAACATTTTACAAAAAAAATATTTTGTAACATTTGCTGCTAGGGGAGGCTCACAAGGGCTGATTTATTTCTTTATTTTGCAGTATCTGATAGCCTGGATTTCTGTGTCCTGACTATCTAAGTCTGCAATCTGATTAACTTTCCTCTCGTTCCTCGAAGAACTTCAGTCATCTTTTCCAGGTATGGAGTACCCTGGTAGACACAAGCCCATAGGAACTCCACACTCACAGTCTACCGGCATTGTACCCAAGCCCGCAGCCCCGCCACCATCAGAAGGATGCTGTTCAAATCTCTTCTGTCTGCGCTGACCATGGCCCTCTCACCTTCCTCCACCACTGTTTCTTCAGATTTACCCCTTGTATTCTGATCCCACCACTGAGCCTCATCAGACATGGAAATCCTCACCATCAACCCTGCTCCTCACCTCAGCTCTGTGCTGATAACACCTGGCATCTGACCTTGTTCTGTCTTTCACCTTTGACTTTGCTTCCTCCTGGCAGGTTCAAGTTACCCTACCATGGTGTTGTTTAGTCACTAAGTCATGTCTGACTCTTGCAATCTCATAGATTGTAGCCCACCAGGCTCCTTTGTCCATGGGATTTTCCAGCAAGAATACTGGAGTGGGTTGCCATTTCCTTCCACAGGGGATCTTCCTGACCCAGGGATTGGACCTGCCAGTTGTGACAATGCCCCAACCTATCTGATTCACAGTTCGAAAAACATCTACAGAGCGCTGATGTGCTCAGCCTGTGGCTGGGGCTTGTGAACACAGAAGCTACGCGCACGGTTCCCTACTCGAGGGGAGTTCAGAGGATCAGAGGTGACTAAGAGAAAGCTACAGTGATAGGAGCTGACACGGAAGGCTTGTTGCTACTTGGTACAGCTCTGTACGTTTTGTGTGTATCATCTCACTTTACCCTCAGAATAACCCTATGAAGGAAGCACTTTTATTACACCCATTTTAAGGAGGAGGAAACTGAGGCATAGAGGTAGTTTCCTCAAGGTCCCAGAGAGCTAAGGAGTAGATCATGTAATCCAACTCCAGAGGCATGAGTCTTAAAAACCATGCTCTGTGAAAAAAACAAGGTAGCCAGTTGCTGAGCAATAGACATTCATTAAAAGAGCTGCTGCCCTATGGAAAACAGAGTTGAAGTGCCTCGGAAAATTAAAACAGGAATTAGCATATGATCTAGCAATCTCACTCCTGGGCATACACATGAACAAAACTATAACTCAAAAAGATACACGCACCCCAGTGTTCATAGCAGCAGTATTCACAATAACCAAGACATGGAAACAGCCTAAATGTCCATCGACAGACAAATGGATAAAGCAGACATGGTCCACATATACAATGGAATACTACTCAGCCACAGTAAAAGAGCAAAGTAAAGCCATCGGCAGCAACATGGATGCAACTGGAGATCATCATACTAAGTGAAGTGAGTCAGAAAAAAAGACAAACAGCATATGATATCACTTATACATGAAATCTAGAATACAGTTCAAATGAACTTCTACAAAACAGAAACAGACTCACAGACATAGAGAAGAGATTTGTGGTTGCCAAGGGGAAGGGGAGGAGGGAGAGAGATGGACTGGGGATTTGGGGTTGGGAGATGCATACTATTCCCTTTAGAATGGATAAACAGCAAGCTCCTACTGTAGCACAGGAAAGTGTATCCAATCTCCTGGAATAAACCATAAATGAAAAGAATACTTTGAAAAAGAAAGCATAGATGTGGAAAACTGAGTCACTTGCGGTACAGCAGAGATGGGCACAACACTGCAAATCAACGATACTTCACTTAAAAAGATAAAGTATATGGGAGACCTAAAAAAATGGAAGGGGCTGTGGGAGCTCAGTAAAAATGAGTCGTGGATTGTTCTGCTCTCAGACTCTTGGCTGGCATGAGACTGGTATGTGACCTGCTTCCTCTTTGCTGCTCATCTAACCAAAGGTCTGCTTTTATGTCTGCCCAGGTGTGACACCTCGCCTGTGCCTTACACTCGCTGTCTTTCTGAGTGCCTGACATCTGCAAGGCTGACCTGCAACTCTGTGTCCACCGGAACCGGGCTGACAGGCCCGGACCTTGCTCCATGTCATTTCGGATTCAGCGAGCCAAGTGCCCCATCCCCAGGGCACAGAGACACGGATGGCCCAGAGTTCTCCCATCTGGGGTCTCACCTTCTTCCCAGTGCTCCATGAGCCCTCCAGTGGGGGCTCCAGTGGGGGAAGGACTGATGAACGTCCCTCCCTGGCCATTCTACTTCTATAAGTAGGCCACATTTTCTGTAATGACAGTGCTCCAGATAAGTTTTGTTCAAACAAAATATTTGTACATTGAATCCCATTTAGAATATATTAGAATAATCAGCTCCAATGCAAAAATCAGACGCAGTAGCACTAACCAGCATTAAGTATATACAAAATGCCAGGTACTTCACTTGTAATATCCAGGTACTATGCTTGTAATTCTTAGAGCACCCCAGCAAGGAGGTACTACTTTCATTATTGTTGTTGTTGTTCAGTCACCCAGTCATGTCCAACTCTTTGCAACCCTATGGACTGCACGCCTAGCACGCTAGGCCTTCCTGTTCCTCATCATCCCCCAAAGTTTGCCTAAGTTTATGTCCATTGCAACAGTGATGCTACCCAGCCGTCTCATCCTCTGATGCTTTTTTCTCCTTTTGCCCTCAATCTTTTTCCATTATTGGAGAAAGAAATGGCATCCCACTCCAGTACTCTTGCCTGGAAAATCCCATGGGCAGAGGAATCTGATAGGCTACAGTCCATGGGGTCGCAAAGAGTTGGACACGACTGAGGGACTTCTCTTTCACTTTTCCCATTATACCCAAATGAAAAACACTAGGTCCAGAGAAGTCCGTTGACTTACCCAAGGTCACACAGCTAACGAGCAGCAGAGCCACCACTCTTGGTCACCACTCAGTCTAAACCATCTAAACCGAGTCTAAACTCAGCGAATTCTTAGGCAAACAGTCTCTCGGGGGTGCAAGCTTTCTAAGTTCCAAGTTGTGTTTTGTCACAAGAGGACAAACCTGACTTTCTTGCTCCCACCTTCAGCCACTAGGCTGACGTGAAAGGAAATATGAGTCGTGCTGGATAGTTCTAGGGCAGACATAATAGAAATCTCTCCCCAGCACTCCCCAGAAGGGGAAGCTCTAGAGCTCCTCTATCTCCACCCTATCTTGTGTGGGCACATGCACACATACACACACACACGTATGCATGCATACACATGTGCACACACATGCACTTATATACCTGTGTATCTTTCTGGTCCAGCCCGTGACTGTCTCCTTTGACCAGACAGCTGCCTGGGTACACCCAGGGCAGAGCCACTAAAGAGCCAGGGCCATCAAGAGCGAGGGAGCTGAATAAAAGCAGCTCATGCTATACCTATGATACGAAGCTTTGGATGTAATAAACACTGCAGCTGAGTATTCCCGTGGGGATTCCCTAATGGCGGAGATGGATACACTCCAGAGCAACCACAGGGGTTTTACACGCAGCTCTGACTAAACTCCCTATAAAATCAATCCCGCCTTTTCACCACTTGTGACAGGGTGTTCTAATATTAATCCACTCTCCTTGTCAGTCAGCTCCCCCAACAAAGGCTTTAATGATCTTTAACCGGGCATAATCAGCGCTACACACTCAAGCAGAGACTTCCTGGGCCCAGGCAGCTCCCCCTCACTCAACAACAACTGGCTGGAAGTTCCAGGGGGACAAAGGCGATCCCCTCAGTCCCCCGAGCCACCTTCTCTCTCCCCGCAGGATGGACTGTCCAGGAGGGCAGCCCCCCACGAGGACAGGGGCGGCGGGCCGGTGGGCTCGGGCCGCTCGGCGGGTGGGGGGTGCAGGCCCGGCCCCGCGGGCTCCTCCACAGGCTTCCTGCGGTCCTGAGATGCTGATTGTTCCAGGCGGCGCTGGCTCTGCAAGTCTGCCTCTAACACTGTCATCAAGGGCGTCTCCTCTGGACTTCTGACAGCTCCCATCTCTCTAAGGGAAGCGGGGCCTGAGTGGAGGACCCTAGCAGACGGAGAAGGAGCACGGGAGCATGTGGTTTGGCCTCTGTGCCTGACCCCCCCACCACCCCGACTCAGCCTGCCCAGACCTAGCACCCTCCGCTTCCTCCCCGCCCCCGTGCTTCCTCCCCCCTTCTTGTCTCTTTCCTTGGACCCTCCGTGCTCCTCGTGGCCCCCCAGAGGAGAGTGGCAGGAATAAGGGCAGCCGGTGGGGTGGGGGGCGGTGAGGGCAGGCACACGAAAGCAAAGCCAGAGGCCTGGGCCCCGGGATGAGGGAATGCACCTCCTGGGTAGACCAAGAGGGCCTCCCCCCACAAAGGCCTCAGTCCTTCTGTATCTAAGTCCATCTCTGCATCTTCAAGGCTGCTCAGCGTTTATTGGAGCCACGCAGGAGCCCTGCACCGGCTCTGGGGCGGCTCTGAGGACTTGTGGCGCAGACAGGCCTGTCAGGGAAGCAGCTGGGCAAGCTGCCTGGCAGGCTCGCCGAAACCTCCCAGCCAAGTCCCTCAGGCGACATCAGAGCCCCTCGGGCGTCGGAGCCTGGAGTTCGGCCTCTGACTTCAGGATACAAACTGGCCTGAGCTGCTTAATGCAGCCTCCCTCCCGTTCCAGCCCACGAGGGGCAGCCCTTCCCTGTCTGGTGGTGTATGGCTTCTCCGTGGCCCTGAGGATCCCCGAGAGCTGTGTGAAGTTTGGGGGAGCAGAGAGATGCCTTCACTGTTGTCTCATTAGAATTTAGTTTAACACTACCAGTCTATTGGTACAATGTGTGTGTGTGTGTGTGCTCAGTGGCTTCAGCCGTGTCTGACTTCGCAACCCCATGGATTGTAGGCCGCCAGGCTCCTCTGTTCATGGAATTCTCCAGGTACAATATATTGTACTTAACTTGAGAAAAATGGGACGATATTAAAAAGCAGAAGAGGAGGCCGTGACCTCCAACAAGCACTGCTAACATCTGAATGCACTGCCTCCCAAAATTTTTATTTTCTTACAGTTGTTGAATTTGGGTTTGCCCTTGGACTTTGTACCAGAGACCTGCCTGTACTGTTTTGCCTGTGGGAACCCACCTCCCGCCCCTGCCCCAGCCCTGTGTTGAGGAGGGGAGCTTGTGATTCTTGCTCATGATTTATTGGGTGATCAGGGGCCCCTTCATTAATGCTGTGCCTTTGAGTCCTCAATTATAAAAGAGGAGATAATAATAGCACTGCCCTCATAGGGTAGTCATAAGGATTAAATGCTTTTGTGTATGCAAAGTACTTAGAATATGTATCTAGCATAAATGTGAAATATATGTGGTGGTAGCATCACTGATAGGATTGTTATTATTATTATTATTACTGCTGCTATTTGCACTACCTTCCCTGTGAAGTGTGGGGAGTAGGGACCAGCACCCCCTTTTCCCAGGAACTGTGGCTTCCATAGGGGAAGTCCAAGCACCCGGCTGTGTAACAGGTAGGCAGGTAGCCCAAGAGAAAGTCACTCTGGGAGGACAGAAAGCAAACCATCACTGGTCCAGGACTCTGCCTCTCCTGGGGTGACAGGGAGGGGTATGGCCACCACGCCTCATGTGAGATCTTCACGCCTGTGCAGACCTGTGCTGGTACCCAGGTGGCCAGCAGGGCTCCTTCCCCACCCTCGCTCAGCACAGATTGTTAATCCAGCATCTCACGCCTCTCCAGCGAGCCCAGCCCAAGCTGTGGACTATTTCTTACCCCCACAGTCCAGTGGGCCCCTCCCATACACCAGGGCTGGCTTTCCAAAGGATGCCTACTTTCCAGTCTTCCTATAGACCTGAAAGGCTCCTGATTTAGGCCATGAGAATATAAGAACATCCCTGGAAAGAACCCTTGTTGCTGCTGTTGTTGGTTAGTCACTCAGTCGTGTCCGACTCTTTGTGACCCCATGGACTGTAGCCTACCAGGCTCCTCTGTCCATGGAATTCTCCAGGCAAGAATAGTGGAATGGGCTTGCCATTTCCTTCTCCAGGGCATCTTCCAGACCCAGGGATCAAACTCATGTCTCTTATTTTGCAGGCAGATTCTTTACCACTGAGATGCTAGGGAAGCCCCTCAAATAATAGCTCATGATGATGACAGTTCATATTTGTTCAGCATTTACTGTGTCTCAAGTGACAGTTGCTCAGTTGGGTCTGACTATTTGAGACCCCATGGCCTGCAGCCCACCAGGCTCTTCTGTCCATGGAATTCTCCAGGCAAGAATAATGGAGTAGGGTGCCATTACCTCCTCCAGGGGTTCTTTCTGACCTGGGTGTTGAACCTGGGTCTCCTGCATTGCAGGCAGATTCTTTACTGTTGAGCCACACTGTGTGTGAAGCCCTTGGCTAAATAATTTACATGTATTATCTCATTGAATCCTCACAGAAACACAGGAACTAGGACCCATCTTTATCTCCATTTTACAGTTGAAACCTCAGCTTGAAGAGCTTGAGTTGTCTGCCCAGGATTGACGCCCAAAAGCCACCGAGGGGACTTAACCTGACTACAGAGAGACTGCTCTTCATTCTGGGGAAACACTACTATGAATTTCTAAGGTTCCTAGAGCTGTTCTAAGGGGAAGCCCGATGCTATTGTTAACTTGAATGAATGAAGAGGTGGTTTTGATCGTGTAAGGTCTCTCTCTCAAATATATATATTTGTGTATATATATATATATATAAATGGAACCCAGAAAGAGTAAATTACTTTGTATGGCCACATGGCTAGAAAGCCATGGAGCCTGAAGCAAGATCCAAAACACCCCGATTTCATGTTCTTTCTAGCCTATCCTGTTAAGCTTTTGTCCCTTCCAGACAAAAGAGAGAACCTGGCCACGGACAGACACCAAGTCCCACACTCTGGTATTCCTTGCACTGTACCCAGCACAGCCAGTGCACACAGTAGGTGCTCACTCAATCTCTGGGAGTGAATGGATGTGAACTTTCTGCAGGAGATCAGCAGCACACACTGAACGGTTCCCCCAGCCTTCTCCTGACAGCTGGCTATGGGTCATTCATTTGTGAATGGAAACAAGCTTGTGCAGAAGCCGTCGATACTGTGGGCCAGGGCCCAGCCTGGAGCCTCAACTATGAAAAACCGAGTGTCCCTGGACCCTGTTCTTTCTCTGCCTTCTCCACCAAGCCCATCCACTCCTTTTCCTTCTTTCCCTCCCTGTCCTCCCCCTAAAAACAGCACATTCCTGGTCCAAGTCAGTGTCCCTGGAGAATCAAACATTGTCTGAAAGAATCCGAGAGACTCTGAATTCTTTTTTTTTGTGTGTGGTGTTGATGCCTGATTTCCTCTGGGCACTGCCTAATTTCTCTCATTCCCAGGGTGGTGATGTCTTGCCTGCTGCCTGACAGCGGATGTCCCTATGACCCTGGACTAGAGGCAGGCGGCCTGAGCAGGACTCCTCCAGCAGAGCATGTCTGGGTGATGGTAACCATGCATTTTTTATTGAGTAAGCGAGTCAATGGGCATGTAAAACACACACAACTTGTCAGCCCGTTAGCTGCTGCCATTGCCACGGCCGCTCTCCCGCCTCAGGCTCAACTAAATTGCTCATCACCTTGCTCTTTTCTGCCCTCTCCCTCTCCTCCTTCCCCCGCCCCCCGCTAAAGTCTCTCTCTCTCCCCAGCCTGTACCTCCCTCTTTCCCTGAACTGCTGAAGAATCCCATTTTTATTTATTTATTTTTAATCACTTTCAAATTGGGCAACCAATTTGAGAGACGACTTAACCTTGAAGGCTCGGCTTCATTGCCCCTACCCAGGCATTGCTCTGTCTTCAGTTCCTGCCTAGGAAGCCGGGGTTCAAGGACAAAGGCAGCCCAGAGTGAGCTTCCACCCATGGAGGAGGCAGCTAGTCCAGAGCACTTGCCAGATGCGGGGCATGGATGCCCGCGTGGACATGCCTTCAGTTGTGCACACGTGATCAATTGCCCTCCTTGCCACACCACCCCCGCTGCGGGTGCCACCCTCAGCAGCCTGGGACCTCCACCTGCCCACACCCCCAAAACCTTACCCTACATGCACACACACTGGGCCATCCGCATCCTCATATTCAGACCCCAGTGGCTTCAAAAAATTCCAAATCCCACACGGGTGCTCCTGTGTATATACACTTGAAAGAGCGCACAGCTGAGTGCTACAATACAGCCCCCTCTCCGCATCCCTCCCCGAGGGGCAATCTCAAGCCTGGACACACACTTCTCTCTCACACTCACGCGTGCACGGCCTCAACCGCACACATCTTCAGGCGCACCCTCAAGTCCACACATGGATTCACTTCCTTCAGACACTCCATCAAAAGGCCATTATTCATGTGCATCACCACGCATGTGCACTTTCAGAATTGATGAGAACAGCCACATTCCTATAGGTGCTCTCACAATTGTATTTCTGCACACAGTGCCCCCCAACATTTATATTCTCTACTGTTAGCTGAAGCTGCCTGCACACTTTCAACATGTCTGCACCTCTAATAGTCACATCTGCATGCTCACCCACCAGATAAACTCAACGTCAACAACCCATACCTGCAGTGTGCCTGCCTACATACACACACACAGTGGGCAGGTCGTGTCTGTGTGTATACCCCACTCCATACCCCCTGGTCTGTCTTCAAATGCTCATGTCTGTTGCATACACATATAAACCAACACTCCCACCAGCCCATATGCAAGTAGTCCTTTAATGTATATTTCAGGTATATTTGTACACACTTCATGTACACACATACACATTAAACCCTATTCTGCTTACTTATAACTCATGCAGAGTTGGACACGACTGAGCGACTGAACTGAACTGATAACTCCTGCACATAAACTCTTAATCCCTATTTGTATGTATGTTCCATATAAACATCCCACAGTGTTCATACCATATATACCTACAGAAGACCCCAGTTCTGCCCATGTTCATACTCCAACTCCCTGTCTGCATGCACATCTCAAATGTATACTCCCAAATGCCCTATTTTACCTGTAGTACTAGTAGTGTTAGTCGCTCAGTCGTGTCTGACACTTTGCAACCCCACTGTAGCTGGGCTGCACCCACTGGACTGTAGCTCACCAGGCTCCTCTGTCCATGGTATTCTCCAGGCAAGAATACTAGAGTGTTGCCATTTCCTTCTCCAGGGGATCTTCCTGACCCAGGGATCAAACCTGGGTCTCTTGCATTGCAGGCAGATTCTTTTCCCATGTATGCAGGTATCTCCTGCAATGATTCTATATCAGCTTACACAGACCCCAGTCCAAGGACATACACCCAAACTCGTCATTTCCACATGCAAAGGCAGCCATGTACAGTCCCTTCTAACACCCATTAACAGCTGTATCAAAAGCTCACCATCAATTCAATTGAATTTAAACTAAACAATCAAGCCCATATCAAAATGCAGATGCAGAAGAACTGCAGTCTTTACCTTCAGGAGCTTCCTGTCTAGGAAGAGATACAGACAAGAAAGCAGCAAGTTAGTCTAGCCACAGAAGTAAGTGCACACAGGAGCACACACTCTCAGCAGCTCCAAATTTACAGGAAAATTCTACCTGTTCATCTCAGATGCACAAACTTATGTATGTATGCTTAGTCACTTCAGTTGTGTCTGACTCTTATGAACTGTAGCCCACCAAGCTCCTCTGGCCATGGGATTCTCCAGGCAAGAATACTAGAGTTGGTAGCCATTCCCTTCTCCAGGGGATCTTCCTGACCCAGGGATTGAACCTGAGTCTTCTGCATTATAGGTGGGTTTTGTTTTGTTTTTTGTTTTTTTGCCATCTGAGCCATAAGAGAAACCTCAGATGCACAAATGGACACAACTTAATTCACATTACCACATATCCCCATTCTGTGCCCAAATGCCCCACTCGAAACATGCATGATCAGTCATTTCCATTAACTGTAGTGGCTTCACATGTTCCCAGCAGTCTCCTCCCTAGAGGTAATGCTGCTACTTCACACTGTCATTGCTGGGACTAAGGCCTTCTCTTGGGCTGCTGGCTGAGGACCTAGCCCAGCAGTGGCAGGGCTTCTGGTGCAGGGAGGGTCCCCCAGCAGTCATGCCGCTTCATTGGCCGCCTGACCTCAGATGAGCCACAGGCCTTGCCATTAACCTCTTCTTCTCTGTCCTCTACGGAGCCCGCTGTCCCCACAGTGGGCCCAGGAGCATTTTCCTGCCTACCCCTCCTGTTTGGGTGGCTGGCACCAGTAGTTCTCGGATATGATCATTTAAAAAGTGAATCCGATTCCAGTATAAATTCCTAGGACTTCAGTAAACTGAATTCCAAGAGCTTCGCCTTATGGGCCAAATCTGGCCCACTGTCTATTTTTGCATTACAAGTAAAGTTTTATTAGAATGGTCACATCCATTTGTTTAAGAATTGTCTATGAGGGCTTCCCAGATGGCTCAGTGGTAAAGAATCTGCCTGCAGCGTTGGAGATACTGGTTCGATCCCTGGGTCAGGAAGATCCCCTGGAGAAGGAAATGGTAACCCACTCCAGTATTCTTGCCTGGGAAATCTCATGGACGTCATGCCAGGGACGTCATGGCAGGGCTATAGTCCATGGGGTTGCAAAGAGTTGGACATAACTTGGTGACTAAACAGCAACAACAACTTGGCTGTTTTAGGGCTCTAGTGACAAGAGTTCAGTAGTAACCAGAAGACCGTGGCTAGTAAAATATTTACCATTTGACCCTTTATAGAAAAAGCATCAATCTGCCAATCTTGCCCATCTGATGTCAACATGGAGGTGGTGCCACTCTGGCCTTCCCTGGTCAGGACAGCACAAGACACCTTAGAGGTGAATAGAGAAACCACAGAGTGAAGTGTCAGAGATGGAAAGGAAAGGAATTCAAACCACGTCTTCAACTCATCCCGCAGATACTGATGGGTGCCTGCTATCTGCTGACTCTATGCTGGACACGGGGTTACATCAGAGAATGGAACGTGGCTCCTGTCCTCCTGAAGTAAGAAGTCTACTGGGAGACGTTAAACTACAACCTACACACCAACTCCATTATGAGAATTGTGATAAATATTGACAAAGGAAAACAGGGATCGTTGAAGCCAGGAAGAAGAAACTTAGAGGTACTTTGACAGATGAACTCAAATATGTGAAGAAAGGACAAGGAAGAGGGGCTGGACAAGCCCTCTGGATGCTCAAGGTGGGACCTGGGATGAGGACAGCACAGTGAAAACAGGAAGACATGTGGGAAGAGGAGCGTTGTGTGCTCCACAATGGGCCCTGCACACAGGAGGTTGTGTGTTACATGAATATTAGTGATGGATAAGAGGGATAGAGACTCACCATGGCTTCTCAAGACAGCACCATGCTAAGCGTCCCCAGTGTTCCCCCCTCCTTTCCAGCATCCTCTGTCACCCGGTGGTAGGAGTAAGGGACAACCTCCCCTAATCTGGCCATTGAGCGGGCCATGAACAGCTGCATTCACAGGGGGCTGTGAGGGTGTCCACCACTCCTCTGGTCATTACAAGTTCATACATTAAACACTATTGGCCCTAAAAGTAAGTTTCCATACCAACTAGCTTCTAGGAAGACCTTCAGAACTTCCTCCTCCCCTTCCCACACTGGGCTCCAGCCTTACATCACTTGCTGTCTCCTCCCAAGATCCAGACTTTGAGGCTTCCAGCCCCTCAAGTGGGATCCACAGATTCATGCCTGAGTCCATCTTGCAGAGGGTTCAAAGGAGAATGCCAAAGTTCAGCATCATCCTTAATCCAGGACTCTGGGTGCCCACTCCTTGTTCACTCCATCCCCCCCGGCTTTGTTCCCCTCTCTGAACACGGAGGACACAGATGAGGTCAAGAGAGAAGCAAAGCTGGCAGCAAGAAGGCAGGATCAGGAAGGGGAAAAAAAAAAAGAAGAAGGAAGCAAAATGCAAGAGAAAACACAAGGGTGAATGGGGAGAGCCTTAGGAACCTTGTGTTTAAATGGTCTGATAATTAAATGAAAAGTGTTCGGTAGGGAAGCCCACCTTTCAAAGTCCCCGCTGGTGGTGGAGCATATAAAAACCTGAATAGCAAATATTTACTCAGAATTAACATGGAGCAGATCTCATCAAGCAACCTTGGGGCTGTTTCTGAAGTCTTACCTTAATGTCTTGTGTGGCATGGGGGCCCAGGCGGGCACTAGACCTGGCGTAATAAGCTAAACAAATCTAATGGTGTGCTTTATTTCCCCCCACAGCAGAACTCTTAATTATGTATCTTGCAAATGCACAGAGAAAATGGATTAGCCATGGCAGCTGTTACCTGCTGGAGAGGCACCCTTCCCAGAAGCCTTTGAAAGGAGATGGTGGGCCGGCCCCACAAGCTGCACCAGGCAGCTGGCAGGGGCCTGGGGAGCACACAGGTGAGAGGCTAATGAGGATCTGAATCTTCAGCCAGAGACTGTCTGCCCCTTGGCATCCTGATGGGAGAGGAGGGACACGAGTAAGGTTCTGAACAACAGGGGGCCAGTCCAATCTTTTGTCTGTATGGGATTAAGCAGGCTCTTGGAAAGGCTTCTCTGAGAAGGCCATCTCTCCTTTCCATCCACGCAGAGCTAAATGACAATTGGTGGTCGGTAGGGTGACTCGCTACTGCCCCCTTAGTTCCTCCTAGTAAATTGCAGGGACCAGTGTGTCCATTTCCTTGCCACGTATCAGGGTCTATGAGAAAAACTGGAACCCAGAACAAGTTCCACGGAGAAAAAGAAGTCAGGAAAGTTCAGATATGGCTTTAACTAGGGACCAACAGGGAAAAATAGAAGGTGATGTAAGGATGCTAGGTATAAGGCAGAAACCCTTAACAGCCTGGGGACCTTGTGGCAGAGAAATATTCTGCAAACGGGCAGAACGCTGACATAAGCTGGACACCGGTTAGAGGCAGAGTCCCACTGAGGCCACCTGGCCGCTGAACCCAATGGGTCAGAGATGCTAGCTTGTATGTGTTTCTAACTTAATTTTCAGTTACAGTTGCTTTATAATGTGTTAGATTCTACTGTACAGCAAAGTGAATTGTGTGTGCGTGTGCATGAGTGCTAAGTTGCTTCAGCTGTGTCTCACTTTTTGTGACCCCATGGACTGTAGCCCAACAGGCTCCTCTGTTCATGGGATTCTCCAGGCAAGGGTACTGGAGTGGGGTGCCATTTTCCTCCTCCAGGGGATCTTTCCCACCCAGGAATCAAACCCACATCTCTTACACCTCCTGCATTGGCAGGTGGGTTCTTTACCACTAGCACCACCTGGGA